ATACCTATACTTTTGGTTTCTCACACCAGAGAAACAATGTAATATTCATACATGTGTCTCTGATTTATTTCACTTAAAAGTATGGCCTCAAGGTACATCCATTTACCTAAGAATATCTTGTTTATCTTTATTTATTGCTTGCCAAATTTTTTGACTTGGATTTTCTATTTTATAAACTTCTGTGGATTATATTTTTTTGCAAATGAGATTTCATTGATTCCACCATCTGGTATTGTATCACTATCCCTGAACCTTCAGAGTTCATGACTCTCACTCCTTGTGGCTGAACAGATATGGTTCAAATAAATAGAATAAAGTTATAGCACTGAACTGTTACTGGTTTGGAAGATCATCAGAAAATGGAAAAAAATCATAAACATTCATAAAGTAAATACTATATGAACTCTAACATCTACTATTTATCTTTTTTAAGTATAATTTTTTTCATATCTTGCATTGCTTCTTTAAATTTATGAACTTCTTTCCAAGGCCTATTACCATATGAGGAAATAATTTTGTTTTGATGACAGGGTTTTAGATTGTGGCTAAGTCTTGGCATGTTTCTCTAGCATTATCTATGAAATATTCAATTTGTAACAGTCTTCAAATAACACTTCTTGGTCATCTTTTTCCCTATTGCTGACCCCTAATTCCCAAGAGATTTTTAACTTGCAAACTATTAGAAGTTAGAAGGCAAATATGAATCTAACTTATTCTGTGGGTAAAGAGCCATACTTGATTTATACCATATTTTTATGCCCAAATTATCTCTACTTCCATAATTTTAAAGCATGCAGATAATAGCTCAGTCTAATCAAGTCTTCTATTTGTCTTCTATCAATCAGTAATATAAGAAAAAAATCTGGAAACTAAAATAGATCGCATATACATTTATGTGTAAAACTATGTACTGAGATGGTACTCACTTGCACATCTATAATTACAGCCAACAGAGGTCTTTTCAAAACAGTGATTTTGACTCTTTTAACATGATGAGAATCATTTTATTCACGTTCCAGTCTATTGACTTTCTTAACCCCACAGGTTCTTAAAAAGTTCCTAAGAAGAGAATTCTTTATTCTTGGATCAGTACCCTCCTTAAAGTGCTACTTACTGCTGGGAAAATATACTGATTTTCAATTTAGATCTATGGAAAAATCATCCCTTTGACTAGGGTTTCAATAGTTGAAAATATATTTGAAATTAGATAAAATGTTTTTGTTATATTAAATATTATTTTATTTGTTCATAGTTAAAAACTTCACAAGTGCTGGGCCAACAAGAGTATACCAATTTGAAGTCCCACCAGCCCTGGCTAGGGGTTCCCTTGATACAAAACACGTTGTTCTGTCAGATTTTTGAACGTTTAACAAGTTAATGGATGGGAGGTAGAATACTGCTTTTGTTTTAATTTGCATTAGCTAAAGACTATTGAAATTGAATAACATTCATTTAATAATTTTTTGGAGGTTGTCCATTTTTCTTTTGAATTGGTTCCTTATTTTTTCCTTTATGACTTGAAAAGAATTTTAAATATTCTAGACTTTAATCCTGTGTCAGTTTCATTCTAAGAGTCTGCTACTTATCTTCTATCTTTTATTACCTAAAAGCATTACACATTTATTGCTGACCTCTATGTATTTAAATTTCTTTTTGCACATAGGAAACAGAAAAATTCGGGTTTATTATACATTTTGCATCTTAATTTCTTATTCAGCTTCTCACACTAGTGAGACAATAGGATTCACACATATAGATCTGATTTATTTCACTTATATTTATGATCTTCAGATGCATTCATTGACCTATAAAAGTCTCCAGTTTATTCTTCCATATGGCTGATATATATATAATCTTTTATCCATTGCTCAGTTGATAAGCATTCTGGTTGTTTCCAAGATTTAGTTATTACAAATTGCTGTGGTATGATGTTTTTAATTGTTCTGTGAAGATAAACAGAATAGGAACAACTGGATCAATCATTTGCTTTTCATAATACTTCTTAATACATGAAGGGTTTTAATGTTAATAAGCAGCCAAGTTTATCAATTTTTTGTAGTTTGTGCTTTTTGAGTGTTGTGTACAAAAATTTTCCCTATGTTAAGGTCATGGAGACATTCTCCTATATGTTTTCTAAAACTTGTGAAGCCTTACTTTTTATATTTAGGGATTAAATCTACCTGAAATATTATTTTAATGTATAACATAAACTAGAATTTCAACTTCATTTTCTTCATAAAGATATTAAGCTTACTCCATCATCATTTTTTCACACTCCATTTTTAATTATCTGTGTATAATCCATGCACACACAAAAAATGTTTCTCTACATATGCCAGCCTGTTTCTGAGGCCCCTATTCTCTAACATTGTTCTATATCAATCTCCTTCTGCCAATATCACACTGAACAATTATTCTTGTATGATAAGGTTTAATATCTAGCAG